GATACCGTATCTAAAAGAAATAAGTTAAATCTGATGGTTAATTTTTGGTTAATTTGTTGACCCCGAAGCCTCCTTAATTCTTTAAAAAAATCTTCCTCTCTGCTCCTGGATATTAATTAAACTAACTTCATATAGGTATGATAAGCAAGGGAGCGTTTTCCAGAATTATAAATTTCAAGGCCCCATGCTCATGGGTACCATGTAATTTGTAGACAATACTGTAATTGAATTAATGCTTTGAAATTTGTTCTTTGGTATAAACCAATTTTTTTTTATGAACAATGGTCCTTTTTTCAAAGGAATATATGTGAAATATATGACCTCAGGATGATGGTTTTTGTGGTCAATGAGCACTACTAATTATTGCTAATTATTACCGATTATTTGAAATGAAAGTTTTAAAGTTTTACAAGATGTTCAGATGACCTATAAGATCCATAGCCCTCTTGTCGTGTTCTTAAGTGAACCTCTAGCATCTCGTTAATATGCATTTTATTTGTAACCTCTGGTCCGCCCTTGTTTTCTTTTTAGGTGTCTGCTGGTTAAGACGGGTCTAGAATCGTTGATGCTTTATCTCTCTGCAATCATATAATTTTTTTATGTCTGATTTCTGTAAAAATGTACAACAAAGGGGACCACTGGTCTCCCTATTTATGTACACTACAAGGTGACCTCTGGTCCCCCTTGTGATGTAAAATATAGAGTGCCCTAAGGTCCTCATAATGATCTACAACATAGGGTGACCTCTGACCCCCTATTGATGTATAAGGTGACCTCCGTTTCCCCCTATGATGTACAATATAATCTGACGTCTGCTCTTGTACAGTATAAGGTGACCTACGTTCCCCTTTCTGTTGTACAATATAAAGGTGTCTATTAGTCTCCATAATGAAATAACATATAAGGTGGCCTTTGGTCAATTAATTGATGTACAATATTAGTTCACCTCTGGTCCACCTAGTAACAAACGTTAAAACTGAACTGAAGGCTCTGTCCCCCTTCTGATGCACAATATAAGGTGACCTCTGGTCCCCCTAATTTTATCTCCAACTGATGTACAATATAAGGTGCCCTTTCGTCCCCTTAATGTTGTACAATATAAACTGACACCTGGTCCCCCTACTGTTGTACAATATAAGGTGATATCTGGTCTCCCTTTTGATGTACAATTTAAGGTGACCCCTTGTCCCCCTACTGATGTACAATATAAGGTGACCTCCGGTCCCCCCGCTGATGTATAACATAAGGTGTCCTTTGGTCCCCCTACTGATGTACAATATAAGATGACCCTTGGTCTCCCTACTGGTGTACAATATAAGATGTCCCCTGGTTCCACAACTGATGTACGATATAAGGTGTCCTTCGGTCCCCCTACTGATGTTCAATATAAGGTGACCCCTGGTTCCCCTACTGATGTACTATTTAAGGTGCCCTCTGGTCCCCTTACTGATGTACAATATAAGGTGTCCTCTAGTCTCCCTACGGATGTACAATATAAGCTGACCTCTGGTCCCCCTATTGATGTACAATACAGGGTTACCTCTGGTTCCCCTATTGATGTAAAGTGTAATATTAAGTGTCCTTTGGTCCCCTTCTGATGTTCAATATAAGGTGACCTCTGGTCCCGCTACTGATATTAAATATACTGTGTCCTGTGGGTCCCCTACTGATGTCCCCCAACTGATGTACAATATAAGGTGTCCTCTAGTCCCCCTACTGATGTACAATTAATATAATGTGACCTCTGGTCCCCCTACTGACTTACTATATAAGGTGACCTCTGGTCCCCACACTGATGTACAATATAAGGTGACCCCTGGTCCCCCTACTGATGTACTATTTAAGGTGCCCTCTGGTCCCCTTACTGATGTACAATATAAGGTGTCCTCTAGTCCCCCTACTGATGTACAATATAAGGTGACCTCTGGTCCCCCTACTGATGTACAATATAAGGTGACCCCTAGTCCCCCTACTGATGTACCATATAAGGTGACTTCTGGTCCCCCTACTGATGTACAAAATAAGGTGACCCCTAGTCCCCCTACTGATGTACAATATAAGGTGCCCTCTGGTCCCCCTATTGATCTAAAGTGTAATATTAGGTGTCCTCTGGTCCCCTACTGATGTTCAACAAAAGTCGACCACAGGTCCCCCTACTGATGCACTATATATGATGACCTCTGGTCCCCCTACTGATGTCCCCTTCTGATGTACAATATAAGGTGTCCTCTGGGCCCCCTACTGATGTACAAATAAGATGATTACTGGTCTCCCTACTGATTTAGAGTATAAGATAACTTTTGTTCCCCCTTCTTATTTAAAGTGCATTATAAGGTTTCCTCTGGTCCTACTGTTATTCAATTTAAGGTGACCTCTGGTCCCCCTACTTATGTACAATATAAGGTGATCCCCGGTCCCTCTACTGATATACAATATAAGGTTACCTCTGGTCCCCCCAGTGATGTACAAAATAAAGTGGCTCTGGTCCCCCATATGATGTAGAACAGAAGATGACATCTGGTCTCCCTTTTGATGTACATTATAAGGTGACCTATGATCGCCCTAAAGATGTACGATATAAAGTTACCTCTGGTCTTATTAACTTTTTATTACCTCTGGTATCCGCATAAAGATTATGGAAACGAGCGTAAGTCTTATATATTGTCCATCAATAAGGATTTCATACTTCACAAATTGTAGTATATGAATGAGACAAAGGTAATCTTATATTGTACATTTTTACGATGTTATTGAAAGATGGAAGTAGGCAATAATTTAAAATCATGGTATGTGTAGAATTATTTCTCAAATCCTCTCAAAAAAAGAATTGCGACCCAAATTTTTTGACCGGGGAAAAAGTGCACAATTTCTCCGAGTTCTCTAAATATACATGTATGTAATTGGAATATGGAGGATAAGTCAACTTGCTTGTCTTCAAATACAGTATATATATTATATCCCAGAGTTAAATAACAATTGGTGAATTTTTTTAAATTTTATTTCCTTTTTTTAATGTTGTTTTGATGGGTTTATGAATTTGATGAGTTAATTCCAGGGAAAGGGGAGGAGAACTCCATGCAGACCCAAACTGCAATACAGGGTGTACATCTTCTTTGTAAGATAAGTAAAAATCAGGAATGTCCGCCAAAGTGTTAGAGTGATGAGGTCGCCTATTTAAGCATGACCTCATAAGAAAGACAAAAGAGACATTAAATAATTTATTAACAAATAATTATTCCATTATGTTAAAGGATTGGTGAAAAGTCTGAGCGAAATGAAAAGGGGGCTGTAGGGGGCAAAATCTTCACCCCCCTGCTTGTTAAAGATCTGCAAATGAGAGACTGGACGTACGTCGTTTAATCTAAGCATCAGCGGTTGGGCACTGTGTTATATATATATACTATAACCTTAAATGGAATAATAAAATCATAGGGGAGACCACAGGTCACCTAACATAATCCATAAATGTTAAACTCTAATATACCATATATCTTATAATATTGCAGTTAATGTTGCTCAGCAACCCCCCTTCCCCTCTTTGTTTTCTAATACCCATCACAGATGGTTCTTCCTTTGACAAAAATAAATTTTTTGGGGTATTTTTTTACACTGAAAAGGTTTCACAGTATTACGATTTATTCTATTTTCACTTTACGTATGCAACGCACTACATTTTGTAGCGGAGTAAACAGACCCGATAGATGTGAACTGCGCGGGGGACCTAAGGTCCTAGTACTTAATTCTTATATGTAACTTCCAGTTTGCATAATGATTGAAGACAAGAACATGACTACTATTTTATCTTGTCGTTAGTAATATATATAAATTCAAGGACTTTTTTCTGAAACTATATGTTGGCCCCATCTTTCACGCCACTTTTTGTGAAGTAAACTTGTCATAACAAATTTTAAATAACAAGAATTCAAAGTTTAGTCATAAGAACTAAGTTAAAACAAATAAGAAATAAGTCAAAACACATAAGGAATAAGTCAAAACACATAAGAAATAAGTCAATATCCCTCCAGGGCATCAGTAATTAACAGATAAAAATTCAGTAATCACATCAGTACTGTACGTTTAACTACAAAACTACAATTAATCGTTCTCAATAGCTTACCTACATTTAGTTAGAACTAACCAAAAAATCTCAAAACAAACAAGTCAAAACAAATAAGTTATAACAAATAAATCTTAACAAGTAAGTCAATGTCCCTCCAGGGCTTCCGTAGTTTTCTTCTTCTCATGTATAAGAGTAGAAATAAATTTTGCTTCATATTAATGCAAAAATAGGTCTGCTAATGGTGCAAAATTGGTACCCGTGGGAATTCCATTGCATTGCTGGAAGATCTGGTCTCCAGAAATCATAAAGATACGATAAAGATATTTTTGATCAGAAACTCGAGCATCTTTTGAAAATCAACTTCAGAATAATTGTGAGTACAATCGGAATGTTTTTAACAAATTGATTTTGACAATTACTAATAACAAGATACGTTAATGAATGAGTTCCATTTCCGTGCATGTATGTAAAACTGGTTAACAATACTTCCGATCGTCCGAGAACTTTTTCATACATTTTTTGTATTACAAGTTACCGTTATAATATATATATGCAAGTGAAATTCATGCTCGCTTTGGAAAGGCTTTGTATACAAAGTTTATAAAATGGGAAACAATTATACTGTTTAAATTATTTTTATTTAATCCATCAAATTTGAGAACACTCACACACAACATTTTGGAATATTCATTTCGTGACCAATCAATACACTGTAAAAGAAAATTGTAAGAACTTAAGGATTGTTTGATTTTTTTTTTTACTTAATCAAAACAATGCAAACAGAAAAGGTATTTTTTAAATATATTTAAGGGGAAAAAACTACAGTATATTTAAGGAAAATTAGTGTGAAGTCCATTATACCATACACTCTAGAAGTAATTATCCATGTGAAAATTAATTGAGATGATTTTGTTAACATTATAAACTGTTAAATACTTACTTTGCATGGGTTTCGGTGGCATAGGATATATAGGTCCTGGGTTTGGCATAGGATATATAGGTCCTGGGTTTGGCATAGGGTAGTCAGGCATCATTGGTTTCATGGGCCCTGGGTTTGGCATAGGGTAGTCAGGCATCATTGGTTTCATGGGCCCTGGGTTTGGCATAGGGTAGTCAGGCATCATTGGTTTCATGGGCCCTGGGTTTGGCATAGGGTAGTCAGGCATCATTGGTTTCATAGGCCCTGGGTTTGGCATTGGGTAGTCAGGCATCATTGGTTTCATGGGCATTGGATATGAAGGCCCAGGGTTTGGCATTGGGTAATCTACCGGCATATTTTGTTCATCATTGTCATCATCATCATTTTTTTTCATATTCATCATGTTGGACATCATATTTCCGTTACCTCCACCATTTGCTCCGTTACTAGGGCCATAAACCCCTCCCAGTGCATCGGCACCAAGTACCATAGCGACCAATAAGACTATGGACGAAATAGGAGCCATCTGCAGAAGATTTGATAAAATAAAAAAAATAATAATGAAATAACATTTAAAATTATGTTTTGAACATAAAAGATTACAATCACTGAAAACAGAAAACAATTGAAATAATACACATGTAATTTCATCTTAATTCAACCAAACATTATTTAATATAAAATTGAAGCATCATTTACATTTATTACAAAATATGTGTAAAATGATTACACACTTGTCATACGTCCTATGTTTATCCAATCTCAAGGTGCTGGAGAAGAATGAAGAAAATTAAATGGTCCATTATCGACATTTTCAAAGTAATATGTTTTGTTCTTTTTGTATATTTTTAAAATAAAAAAGATATTTTTATTGAAATTAGGGGACAGTTTTTTTCTTCTTTTTAGTTTAAGTTATGATGAAGATTGTATTCTCTAATTACGAAATTTTAAGAAAAGGGTCATTCTTAAATTTGAAAATTTAAACCTTAAAGGTTTGAAATTCAATTAAAGTGATATCGAAGTGCTCGCTGGATGTGTATCACAATGGGTCATTCTGAGTGGCTAGATATAAACAATAATTTAGATATAAATGAAATCTGATAACCAACAACTTATGTAATGTTTACTATCTGGGCATACATGTTTATACACAACAATTTTCTCTGAGAGAAACAAGAATTATTCAGTAGAATTGCTTTGCTTGCCAAGAAATCATGACTTTTTAAAATCTTTTTAATTTAATCTATATTTCTTACCTTGGAAAGAAGTGAGTATACCTGACTGGGGGATGGCGATGGTGGAGTGTCATTTGGAGCTCCTCGGCTACTTTTATAGAACTCTAAACGTGATCTCTGGTTTTCTCGTGAGTTTACAAAATGTTTCTTTTTTTCTGAGAAAGCAATAATTTAGGTGGGAAAACATTCAAAACATGTGAAAGATCAAAACATCACTTCAAACACAAAATTAAAATATATGCTAAGTCATTCCATGTGTCAGAATTGGTCATGTTCACAAATTCGAACATGGAGTTAACACCTATAGAAAAGTTATGTCCTGTGACCAAACTTAAATATCACCTGGTAGTTTAAAGGATGTACATACTGTTTGAATTTAATAAAAGCTACAAATGCACCGGAAGAATCTTGTATAATATTTGTTTTTAATAAATTTACAAATTCGGATTGGAATTTAAAGCCCAATACATGCACTGTATGGTTCTTTTGACCTTTTATCTTTTTCAATCATGTAGCGGTTGTTTCCACCACCTTTCAGGTAAGAACAGATTGTGCTTGTTAATGTGTGTTATGTCAAGTAAGTACATACAAATTAGATAAAATCGCTGTTTCCATGGTTATTTAATATACTAGAATAATCATTAAAATTCTTTCAGAGTTATTTTCTCTTACAGTTTCGTCCGATTCATTGAAAACCCGGTACAGAAGACGATATTAATTAGATAATTTATTTTATATATCTGTTTGTGATGTCAATCAACAGTGTTGTCATGCTTATTTCAAAATAAATGATATAAAATTCTTTTGAAATTTTACTTAAATCAAAGTTTCTGTCTTATTCAATGACAAATGGCAGAAACAAACAAATGCCTTAGACTTATAATTATGGTTACTTTCGACAAAGGATGATGTTCATTCCTCCATGATACCTGATCCCACCTCTGATGTTTTAGAGGCCCATCTTTGCTCTACTCCTTTTTTTGTATTGTTTGGATTTTTGAGCTTGAATACTGTTCGTTATTTTGATATAGAATTGTAAATGCATATAGAATATACTTATTATTCCAAATCGGGACCCCTTTGAGCACATTACATACATGATTCTTAAACAGAACAAACAGTATAATAGTTATTTACAACATGTGATAATAGCTAGTGGTACACTGTATTCAGCATAGTCTTAATGCATGTATATATACTTAATCAATTTACACATGATTGTTATACAATTATTGCTGTTTTCCGGTCAATACAATGATTTAGCCATCTGAGGAGTACAATATTCACCGAGCCCAAGGGTCAGCTACAGCTCATTACTTTTTTGCATTTGATTAAGTCCTAGCCAAAAACAAGAGAGAATTAGGCAAAATAAAAATGTAAATAAACCTTACTAGTCGTAGCAGTTAGAAATGTTTTTTATCAATTTTAGTTTCCATGAAAAAAAATATGTCAGTTTTCTTATAGGATAGATTTTGAAATGAAGGAGTATTATCAGGCAAAAGTGACCACCAAAAAGTAAAAATTGTTGTTCAGTTAAAGTGTTGGAGGAGGTCCCTGCATCTCTCTTACCACCCTAGCCGAAAATATATATGCTTATGTTTTGTTCACGTGAAAAAAAAAATCATAGTCGTTTAAATAGCTTTCCAAAACGATTTGTATCAATTTGGAATTTCCCGATCTATTTTAAGATCAATGTTTAGGAAATAAATCTTTGTATTCACCTGGAACGTCACGTGCAGGTCAATACAACGTAGTATTTTTCTAACATAGTTGGATCTCAGCCAATCAGAGAGATGGAAATTATTTAAGGAATGAATTTAATGGCTACCCATTTTATACGGTATAAACTGGGTTGGGCAGTTTACGCTTTATAAACCGCGAAGCGGTTTATAGAAAAGCGTAAACTGTTCCAACCCAGTTTATACCGTATAAATGGGTAGGTATTAAATTCATTGCTTATAATTTAATTTTCATTCATTTGATGTAAGAAAAAAAGATTATTGTTCTAACAAAATGACTTCAATTTGTGCAAAATTTGAATGTAACGTCAGGCGGATTGATACGTTTTTGACGCACGTCATTGTGACGTAGGCAACCCATTTATACGATATAAAATAATTTTTTATCCAATAAAATACATCGTTACAACCATAATTAAATTATTCAATCATATAATAAAATGAATTATTTAAATGCGTCTCTTCCTGCAGTTTTATTCAAATTTTAATAAATCATATATTTATTTTTTTTTTACATAAGTAAACATATTTCCTGACTAGGCCATTCCGATTTTTTCCTTGTTTAGCGTCCACACTCAATCTCAAGAACATGTTTTTCTATTCCACCGTATACAACGGGTAACGCAGGGGGAGTCGCTAAAAAGTATGGGGGAGTCGTTTTCAACGTATGGGGGAGTAGATTTTCACCGCTTCGGAGTCGGAACAGATGTGGGTCACGTCTTTTTTCGGTATTTATAAGATGTATTTACAAAAAACAAATATCCCACGGAAGATGGCAATAGTTAAGCTTCATTTTGGTCATTTGTCCGGCTGTCATATACGTCTAGTTTTCTCAAACACTTCGAAACTATTTGACAGTTTTCATATTTACGTTGATCGGATGGTAAAAACATGTATGATTTGTACAATCTACGGCTTGCGTAGGGATTCTCACATTTAAAACAGCGAGAGAAAACGTTAATCTTTTAAATGCAACAGCTTAAACTTGACTAGACTTTATAAAAATTAAATAATTAAGACATTTTCTCCTCAGACAGTAACGGTTACGTAGGGGGGAGTCGTTTATGGGAAAGCACATTGCAGGGGGAGTCGCAAAATAAAGTCAAATGCATACTTGGTGTTGTTTTCATCTCTTTTATACTGCAATACCTTTTCAGCTCACCTCAACGAAGTTGGGGGAGCTTATGTAATACCTTTTGGCGTCGGCGTCAGTGTCGTGTCCCAGGTCCGGAGGTAGAGGTTTTTGGAGCAGTTTTCTTTTTAAGTACTTCTATGTCCTATATTAATGAGACATGCATAGAAGATGGTTCTAGTGTGTTTCATTGTACCAGTCAAAGTTTCAGATGCTGCAATTTCCAGCCAAGGAATGACCAGGTTAATGTTTTTGGAGCAGGTTAACATTTTTGGTGCAGTTTTTGGTGTAGGTTTCATTGTCAAGTAACTATAAGCCCTACATTAACCAAACTTGCATGGATGATTCATCTAAGGATGCATACTACCGGGCTTGCTTCGGATGCTGATTCTTACATACAATATTCCGGTTGAGTGAACAGTTTAAAGTTTTTGGTGTAGGTTTCATTTCCAAGTAACTATAAGCCCTATGCTGACCAAACTTGCATGGATGATACATCTAAGTATGCATACAACCGGGCTTGCGTCGGATCCAGACTATGACCTACATTTTCCGGTTGAGTGAACAGGTTAAAGCTTTTGGTGCATGATTCATTTCCAAGTAACTACATGTATGAGTTCTTTTTAAATAACCAAACTTGCATGGATGATACATCTAAGGATGCATACTGCCGGGCTTGCTTCTGATGCTGAATCTGACCTACATTTTGTGAATGAGTGAAAATGTTAGTTTTTGATGATGTTTCATTTCCAATTAACTATGAGCCCTATAATGAGCAAACTTGCATGGATGATACATCTTATGATGCACATTAAATGGACTTGCTTCGGATGCTGAATTCGACATACATTTTTCAGATAATAGACCAGGTAAAAGTTATGAGTGCAGGTCTATTACCAAAAAACTATAAGGCTTATATGACATTGTATAAACCAAACTTGCACAAATGTTGCATCAAGAGATGAAGACTCTCAAATTTCCTTCAGATGCTGGATTTAATTACATTTTCATGAAGAAGAACTAGTTTAAATTTTTAATGTAGGTCTATTTCAAAGTATCAGATCAAAATTTTCTTAAATATTTTCCTTTTTGGAATGTACACTTTTTGTTGGTTAATTGTGTGACTTTGCCTTACTTAAAGACAACATTCGTTGAGGTGAGCTCTGTAATCTCTGATTACCTACATGTATGTTTATTTACTCGTAGATATCTATAAATCTATGTTTGGTTATTTACTTTATAATTTGAAGTTACGAAAAGAGATTTTTCTGTGGCTTTATCAGTTCTAGAAAAAAAATCAGCAATATAGATTACATGAACAATTGGCTTATATATCATAGGACATGCTTGGGACAGGACCGTCCCCCTCAATATGTAATTTTCGTACATGTATATCACAAAAATTCAATCCACGAATCCAGGAACCATAACTTCCGCCAATGAAAGCCTTTCCATAAAAAAAGAACAACCCGATTTATAATTTGGAAAATTTCTTGATAATTAATATCAACCATTTTTTTAATTAGAAAAAGGCAACTCTCTGATGCGTCTGCACGCGCCACTTGACTTTTTCTTTGGGAAGGGGGTTAAATTTAACTGGTATATTCTCTCGATTAGGTTCACAGATATCATTCATAATTATTTTTTTTATTATTTATTTATCATATAAAATAACACATCTTCAGACACAAACGAATAAGTATGTCAAATTGAGAATATTTTGGATAATCTGAGATTAATACACATAGGTAAATAAAAACTAAATATACAGGATGAATACTGAAGATGGGACTGAATTGCATATTACCTAATACGCTGGAAATGTATGTCTACATGTATGATAAATGAAATGAAAAGTGCCAATGTAAAAATAATCACAAACTTTTAAAAGAGGAAATACGAAAATATTTCTTCTCTGTATACATCTCATTATCATGGTACCCTCTCTTTCCTTGCCCCAGCTATATATACAGTTCCTCAGAATATGATACCCCCTTTACCCCTCCCCTTTCGCAGTTTCGAGAACACATAGCAAAGTAACTTGTTGTACAAGAATCAGTCTGAGGCAACCAGTAACATTCATAAACAGGGTTCGAGGGCAACATGCATTTTGTCGGACCCAAGAACCAAACTGTTTGCAGGAGACTGTTAGGCCGAAGGCAAACAGTTTTGTTCGAGGGGTCGACGAAACACATTTGGCCAGATCTAGAGAACACAT